ATATCATCCAGCAAAATCAGTCAAATCCTAAATAGTATGTATGAAGGAGATGGTTTTTCATTACAAACTCATGGAAAAAGCGTTTTTCATTTTCAAAATGACTGATCTGGCCACAGTCCAACTGGCCAGTTCTGAGTTTAGGAAAGCACCCTGAGACAGACACTTCTGGGAATGACACTTAAAGTGACTGTCTAAGAGTAATTCTCCATCTTTGCCCTTTAAGCCCCACTATATATCCACATACAAATTCTCCTAACTGATCTCTATACATTTCCTTAAAGCATGAGTTGAGAGAATTTGATAAACAGTCAAGGCACTTTCTCTTAGGTGATCGTTTTATTAATTCTCATAACCTTATTTCTTGACAATGTATGGATATCGCTAGGAGAAAATTGATGTTGGTCACCATTGGGACTTAAAGGGTATAAGAGAGTCAAATAAAGGAAGTAAAAAGGGCATGGACCATTTCTAGGTGTTTGTTTTACATGCACCAAAGTATCCACCTTGTAGAGGTGTCTGTTTTAGGGAAAGTCAACTGTATTTTGCTTTCTTTGTTTCAGATTATATGGCTCACTGATGGTGTTAGTAATTAAAACGAAAATTATAATAAATAGAGGATATTACATGGCCGCGCGGAGATACGAAATTTCTCTGCGCGAGCGAGTGAAATATTCTCAACACGAGAAGAGAAATTTCGTATCTCCAAGTGGCCATGTAATGTTCTATTTATTATATAAATACCAGTGAAATACCAAACCATTTCACTGAAACAGTTTTTTCCTGCGAAAGGCGCGATTTATTATGTAGCGATAGCAACGGTGATATTTTCACGTGTGAAGATATCATGTTTTCGCGCGAAAGCTCACCTGGTATTTCATTGGTGTTTATATAATAAAATGGGTTTTATAATGTTTAAACCTAGGAAAAATTTGAACCAGAACTAATTAGAGAAAGAGGTTTCAACCGTGGATGCAGGCTTTTTGTCATTATAGCAAGTAACAAATCAATAATAATAGTTTTAAAGAGTCTTCAAGATCAAAGAAGTTAATGCATGAAATGTGATACATGAAAGTATAATTCATTCATTTATTTTGCTATTAACCACATAACAATACAACAATAATAATTATACGAGAAATTTAAAATACATTAAAGATTATAGACACTATTCTAACTAAATCATTTACAAAATTAATTGTTTAATTTGGTAATGAAAGGGAAGCTGTGTATATTATAGAGTCTGGGTCGGGGCTTATACACTATAGGCTTCCTGGTACTATAGGGTACACCATGTGATATTGACTTATATGGACATTCTCTTTGAAATCTTCTGTTTAGGCATTGCAAGAAATTGCTCTGACAAAGAAAACGATTTTTCAAAAACAGGTATGGTATGTCACCCGGAGAAAATATTCTGTTGGATTGTTTGCAATAACTTTAAATTTTAATGATGTCATTCCGAATTATAGGGAGGTGAAGTTATAGACTTCCTTCAAAACAAGTATCTTCCTACACTAAACCTGGCCCCTTTGCTTATTCAGGTATGGTTCTATTTTATTAAATAAATTTACATTAAACAACTGTACATGTGTACAGGCCCATTTTTACGGGGGATTTTTTTTTCTGTGTGCAATTTTTATTTTCAAATTTGGCACATTTTTAAATTGCTCATAAATAATTGGCAGTGGTCTAATTGTCTGCTCTCGATCAGGGCTTGTGCTACATTCAACAAAGGTAATAAATTGTTGTTTAGCTTATTTTTTCTCCAACAGTATGCACTCTCACTGGTTACTTCAAGGTCACATGACATTGAACAATAAAACTGTCTTCCGCTAAGTCTCTGAGCAGACAATATTGCCAAGTCTGTGGTCCAGAGATTACCTGCGAATATTGACAACTTTCTGAGATATACTTTCATTAGCTGCATAACAGGTGCTTTATGAGCCAAGCGAGGCGAACGTGGCATTTTGCGCGAAGTGCAAAACGAGTGCGAAGTGCAAGACAAGGGGAGGAGTAAAAATGAAAAAACAAAAAAAATTCTCCTCCTCCCATCTCATGCTTCGCACTCGTTTTTGCCTTCGCCTCACTTGAATCATAAAGCCTGTTCTGCAGGCTATACGTTCACAAAGTTGTGCACTAAGCAGTTTATCTTCAAGGAACTTACAAGTTATTGGTCACTGGCCCCTCGGAAGGGTTAATTTTGTTTCCCTCAAATCTCCTTGTTTTCTTTGGCTCTGCCTCATGAAACACTGGGATATTTCTCCAGATCAGTCATTAAGTCTTAACTGTTAGATGGTGTTTATTTGTTCAAAAATGAAAAGAGTGGTGTAACTCCTTTTTTTTATCTTTGCTGTGCATTGTAGTAGTTTATTTTCATATGTACGGTTGTAAGCAATAAAAAATATATTTTTTAGGAGTACACTAATGCTCTACAACATGCTGACATGAAAACTTTCAAGAGCTATTTGAAGGTGAGGCTTGTAAACACAGTGAAGTTCAATCAATGATATCCTGAAAAGGTTATCAACTTTGGAGTCCTGGTCATTTAAGATTCACACATTAGATGTTAATACATGTTTTTGTGGTTGCAGGCCTTCTTCAGCAACCTCCGTACGTGACAAAGGGAGCCCTTCACACTGGTATGAAGGGGCAAAAAAAATGTACAATTTGAATTTAAAACGGAAACTTGCAAGTTTCCAATTTGTCTGTATGGTGCAATATAATGCGATTTTAAATGGCAATAGGATATGGTTTTTGACGCCTCAGCACTTTATGCCGGGATGCCGGCTGTGAATTAAGATCATAAGAAGTCAATGTTATTGAAGTCTGTTTGCTTAATATATGTAAGTTATATCTGCAGTACACTGGTGTACAAACAGAAAAAGTGAAACTTCTGCGTAAGTAATATAAAAAGAATAATTGAAGAATAGAGTGAAGTCTATTGTAAAAAGGAAGATCCGAAGATCTAATAAGTTGATTATGTTTTTCCTTCAAATTGTCAATTTGGAGCGCAAAGGCGCAGCTCAACTCGGTAATATTGTAACTATTTTAATGGTTGGTTTAAATCGATGAGACACCACTCTCATTCACCTGAATTACCAGAAACAAGACACCAAAAAAAAACTACGGATATTTTTTAATATTAAGTTGTATTTTTCAGCAAGAATTTATTTCTTTTTATAATTCTTTTTTGTTTGCTTGTCTTAATTTATTACCTTGGATAAAGAAAAACAGGAAAAAGAACAAATTGTACTGTTATAAATCAGTGTTGCTAGTGAGTCAAGAGTTACGAGTAACAAAAGTGACCGTCAGTAAACACTGAAGGAAATAAATTTACAATAAAATGTTGTTCATTCTCTCTACTGATGCGAGTGAAAAGTCTATAAACTTCCCTTCAAATAAGGGTTTCTTAAACATAGCCAAAACATTCATTTCAATGCCTGTAGCTGTGTTGTGGAAAACTAAAAAAAACGCCAACAGTGGTAGGAGACTCAAATGTAGGTGTTAATTATGCAAATCATGCATAAAATTTATTTGACATGATTCTAGCCAAATGACCATGATTTTCTTCAAGTGGAGGGTAAATTTGCTTTGTAATGTCCTATGAACTTCCAAACTAGACATTCTTCTTTCTGGTAAAATGATACTGTGACATTTAATTTTAGCGTTGGTAATCCACACTCTATGGGTGTTGTTTGTATGTCCTATATGATACCTTTTGAAAAGATTCGAAATAAAAATGACCCATCTTTTGTTTTTGTTGTGCCCAAGTACCGTGTGTTTGCTTCTGGAGCATTTCAAAGCCGTTTTGGTGAGATTAATAGTTTGAGAGAGACAGTGTCCATGTTATTGGGGTGTATTGAGTGGGTCTTGTTATTTACGTCAAAAATACGGCTTTTATTTGAACAACTAAAGAAATAAAAACATCGTCAAATCAAACAAACCTCTCTAACCTTCAAAAAGACACCATTGCACGGACTATATCCATGGAAACACTAGAAAATTGCTGATTTATCACTCTTTAAGCTGTACAGAGTACTTTTAGATCTCTAGAAATGCATTCTAAGTGGTGCCATAAAATTGTACCTGATCGGTCATCCTAGGGGAACTTGAGTCTTTTCGAAATTACAGGAGCCTCAGTATTGTTTTTTCCAAAAGGTTTAGATGCAATTTAGCATATTACAAAAGTGGAAATTTTTCTGATTCCTCCTAACCTGGACAGTGAAATGTAAAAAATTAAACTTCAGAAAATCGTGGAAAAATATATCAGCTTTCGAAATTGTACGTGAATGGAACGGTGATCTAGAAATTTTTAGCCTTTCTCAAGTAATAGAAAATTCTAGGAAATATTTGCTTTTTTACCAAAAAACAGTCATTTGGTGCCCCTGATTTATACATTACTTTGAGCACAATAATTTCATCCTTTCCAGTGTACTGTAGCGCTCAGGTTTTAATTTTACCTTAAAAAGGGTGGGCCTATTAAGGCACACAGTTCACAATACAGTGTCCCTATAAGTGAGGCTAACTAACTATGAGAACCTGCTGATCGGGCAAGAAACAAGTGTCCATCGTCTACATTAATGTTAGGGCTTTCCCTGGGACAAAGAAAACATTCTAATAATAAGGTGCCTGTATTAAGTGGGTGTCGGTAAAGAGGGGTTCACCTGCGTAGGTACTGGGTATGAAAAATAAACTCGCCATTCAAATGCAGACTCAAAAGTTAGTAACACCATGTAAGACTTCATGAAATGGGATTAAAAGGGTCAAGGAAGAAAAGGAGTGTTAATAAATCAAACACAAATTGCACTTGAAATTAACTATATTTTCCTCTTCACTCATTTTCTGATGTCTATTGTGAACACGTTTGTTTCTACTTTGTTTTTGATCAGCTTAAGATTCTGGGAGACGTCCCAACCACCCCACTCCTAAACCAATGTTACTACTAGTTTCTTAATTTGAGCAAAAAGTAGAATATCTCAGACTTGTTCCTATACCTTTTTTCACCAAGGAATTTCCTCTCCATCCCAAGCAAAAAATTTCCCATTGTCCTTCAATTCTAGTCCATTGATAATGTTCATTAGGCAATCTACTGAAAACTCGGGAGTGAAAACTTTAGCAGGGTCGACATTCTTGAGGTAACGACTGGATAGATCAGTGTTCACCGTGCCGGGATGTAAAGAGACACAAATCACTTGTTTCCTTCCTAGCTCTATGCTAAGATTTTTAGTCGCCATATTGAGAGCAGCTTTTGACATCCTATAACTGTACCATCCGCCAAGGCCATTGTCAGAAATTGATCCAACTCTGGCTGACATATTGACAAGAACACCGGCCGCCTCCTTATTTTTACTTCCTTTGCCGGCTTTCTCGGTACCATTCTCGGACTTCTTCTTGGCAAGATTGGAACTGAAATACTTCGCCATCAACAACGGCCCCAAAGTGTTCGTAGCTATTGTGGCGCTCATATCTTGTGAATTAACTTCTCTTAAGCTAGTTTCTCCCTTTCCGCTTGGATGGAGTATTCCGGCGCAGTTTATCAACAAATCCAGCTTTGTATCACCAACTTGAGCCGACAACTCTTTAATTTGAGCTTCGTCTTGGACATCAACACGGAAGACAGTCAACATGTCGCCATGCTCATGTTGGAGTCGGGTCAAATCCAATGCTTTTGCAGGGTCCCTGCACGTTGCTATTACATTAGTGTGTCTGGAAAGCAAGTATCGACACATCTGTAGTCCTATACCGCGACTAGCTCCTTGAATTAAAGCGTTTCTAAACATTTTTTGGGTCCTTTTCGAACTCGTGCAAGTTTAGGTGGCAAAAGGTGACAGGCGTTATTACGTAACCGATGATGCGAAGTGCGAGAGAAGAATGATGACGAGAAGACTGCGTGACAAAAGACTGTCGAAAGTGAAATATTTCAGGCGCGAAACTTGAAGTCAACTGTAATTTCGCTCTTTTTAGTTGGGGCAAAACCCTCTAGGAAGTCACAACTGAAACAGTTTAAGCAAGACAAACTAACAGAAAGGATGACAGTAATACTATGATTCTTCTGTAGACGAAATACCAGACAACTGAGCAGAATTAAGGTAAGCTGAGGTTAAAATTACCTGAATGGCAGTGCAGTGGTGTGTACAACGAACTAATACACAAACGAACACCCCGATGTAACTAATTATTTTCTTCTCCCAGTTAGAGTGAAATGTATGGGATATGACCCCAGTTAGGCTGAATATTAAACTGAAATTGCTCTTTCATGGATTTGTGCTGATTTGTGAAGCCGCTTGGAAAAACGTGTCCCGTATGAAAAATTCATGCTTCAGCCATGTGGCCAGGAGTAAACCTGTTGACTAAATATAAAGACAGCAATGGTATCGAACTCCCGATAACTCGAACTTTTTTCGATTCTCCTAGAAGGTTCGAGTCGACTGTAGTTTCAAATGTACCGAGGGGATGGGCGTCAGGGTTTGTAGCGGTGGCTGGGGGAGGGGAGGGGAATGTAGGTGATCGGTCCCGACGATCTCACAGAAAAATAGGGAACTGTAAACCGTCTACTCTACATGTAGTTATCATGGGCTGCACCTTCTATACTTGCAGGTTTTTAATTAAGGTTTTCCCAGGTATAAACTCACCATTATCACTCAAAATTTTGCATAAACATGTGCAACCTCAACGCCACATGTGTTAGCACGTGTCGCACCTGTTTACACGCTGTAAACTTCTGCTCTCGCTTGTCATAATCTTTAGATTGTATGTTTACACCAGCCTCCATTCATGGAAAGTTCAGATCGACTTATTACACGTTGAGACTGTTGCGGGAAGAACATTGAACAACATCTAATACAATGCTGAATATTTGAGGCCTGCATACGTGAAATTTGATTGTTAAATTTATCGGCTTATCTCGTCAAGAGGGAAGCTAAACAAGTTGTAACTTGTTAAATGACAAAAATGAGTCACGTTCTTTTCTGCTTTATGCTTGATCGTTCACAATTTTATTCCAAAAACCTTAAAGAAGCTTTAAGTTGTAAATTAATCATGAGGTTGAGGAACCACTCTTTTTTAATCTTTTTGGGTGAATTAAGAAATGAATCGTAAAATTGCTCTGATTTCTTGACTAAATTGATCCACTGACTTTGAAGTCTACCGCCGTTCTGATCCTGTTTAGCAACGCTGTAGCGTGGGACTAGGCTCTTTGGTGGGGGAAAAGGCGAATAAGTGGGCGAGCGAGGCCCCTCTTCCTCACTAAGGTGTTCCCAGTTTAGTCAGTTTGGCAACCGATTTCTAATAAGCTACATGTAGGCCAAATATCCGTTTTCTTACTGGATACCCTGTTTCAGACTAAAAGTACGACAACCAGCATTGGCCCCCGAGTGCCCTGTGCCCCTCCGCGAGCTTGCTCACAGGCTAACCAACATGGGGGGTGTTTACTGGGAAAAAGGAAGATCCTAAAAGGTGCGATAACTTTTCATTGGGTTTACATGCAGAAATTTCGGTCCGTGTGTCTAACAGTAAAGAAGGAATTAAGATTACTGACCCACTGAATGACCTGCTTTTTTGTGTGGTTTGCCCCTAATACTAGGATCTTCCTTGCGAAAGCAGTTTACACGGTGCTAGGATCTTCCTACCTATTAGCTAGGAAGAAAGATTCTATCGCTACTAGGGACAAGTACAACTTTTTGCAAGTAAACTGAATACAGAAAACATATGGTGCTAGGATGGTCCGCCTTCTAGGATCTTCCTGGGGCTTGGGTGTTCCTTCCTCCGTCTAAATAGGCCCCATAGTCTGTTCACAGACCTTTTAGTGGCTCTATCAATTCGAAGCGTGCCCAGCTCCCCGGGGATTATTCAAGTGCTGCCAGTCCCCGGGTCAAGTGCTTGCGGAAAGTGGTTTAAAGCCGTGACGTTCTACAGGAAAAAAAGGAAGCGTGATAACTTCCGCTGACTGCGGGAGAAAGTTGATCAAAGTTTGACATCTTTCACAGACGATAGAAAACAGGACTTTTCTCTTGTGTAACTTTTTAGTAGGTAATGACATCCTGGAAATTTTTAAGGCAACCTTTTTTTCCCGTTGCGTACAAGTAGATTGAAAACACTATCGAAACTCTGTAAGATTTGTATCAGATAGGTTTAAGCAGTGATGTGATGGTTTCAATGACTCTTTGTTTGTCCTTTCCTTTTAATTAGGCCAATACCAGTTTAACTCGACATTACACAACTATTTGCAGAGTCACGGGGATCAATTGTTGAACAACGACGCAATATCTAAACAGAGCCTTTTTTAGAACCTTTTGGTGACATGAGGACACTTCTTTAATTCTAGTAAAGAACTGAACTGGTAAGTCACTTTAAAAAGCTCTCAAAAACTTCCAATATTCGGCAATTCAGTAAGTAAAAAACTTTAGTAGTACTCCTGGTAGTACTGAAAATTGCCGTTCATTAGCAATGAGCGAATAAGAAATTGTATAGTTTTCTACGTATTTTTTATCCAGTCTGGTTCCCATACTCGTCAACATCATAGGAATTTTACAAGTTTTTTTACGAGGTAGTTTGCACGCATTCGGGGATTTTTTTAAGTCTACGATATGATACTACGGTTAACTGAAAAGATAATTTACTCGGAAACAAATGCTTACACGTGTGTTTGAGGGATCAAACGATGTGCTGATTCGACAGATTTTGAACCGACCACGCTTTAACCGCTTTAACCTCACTCTCCCCTCCCCCGAAGACAAACGTTGCGTGACGCGCGGTCGTATGATCGTTGCGTGATTAGTGTCTGATCTACATTTGTAAACATTAATACTGCGGCAGACTGATACAAAGCTAGGCGTTCACAACGGAAACTTGAACAACATATATAATGCCATATTTTATGTATTAAATCGTAAAGTATGAAAAGTGTTGAACGAAGCGAAAGGCAAACGTCGAACGAACTGAACACCTTTCAAAGTCCATCGAATTCCGAGAAATTGACCTCCTCAAAGTCATTGCGAGCTGTTTACGCCTGTACTATAACATTTCGTGGAATTATATAAATAGGCGATCATATTATCATGGAGATCAGAAGCAGTGCCACCTACATTTGGAATATAAAAGATGTGATGGGACAAGGAGCTACCGGAGCGGTGTACAGAGGAAGACACAAGGTAATGTATTTTCGATCGAACGGCGAAAATTCTTTCCTATTAAATATTCCTCTTTGCTTTAAAATATGATACGTAATATAATTAATGGCTACGTCTGTAGATTTAGTGTGATAACCTAAATGAAAGCTATCGAGGAGAACTTTCTTGCTGAATTGTTTAATAATGAATTGGCCAAAGAAAGTTGCTTGAATATGGTTCTGATTCTCGATCGGCTAGTGCTGTTAAATTCACCACTCTACGTTTTTAAGTTTTGTTGACGTTTCAACTTTAATCACATTCCATTTTCTGTTTTCCTTCTTAGAAAACTGGTGATGCTTTTGCGATCAAAGTCTCAAACAATCTGGGTATGATGCGACCCTTCGATGTTCGCAGAAGAGAATTCGAAGTCCTCGCGAAACTTAATCATGAAAACATCGTCAAGATTTATGCCTCGGAAACTGAGGTAAGATCTTTTACTTCTCGATGTTACGGTCCCTTAGTTCGGCAGAAAATAAATATTCTTTGGCGAGAATAGAACACTATAATTTATAACAGTCGGGTTTTTCGGGTTATGAGGGTCCGATTCAAGATGTTTTTATTACTGTTTGTGGCTTATACGAGCAACAAAAAACATCTGTAAGATTTTGAGATCGAAGGCAAAACGTTTAGGCAAAAGTATGTTTTTGCGGATTTAGATGTTTCATGTGAAGGATACTGAAGTCGTTCTTATCATCCTCGTTCTCCTTTAGGGGTAAAAATATTATATTTTGCTATAAATACAATTTTATATCCCCTCTCACACAAGTAAAAACCTTCTTGTGACGACCATCTGTGCAGAAAAGTTATACGCAGTGTTATGATGAGCAATGTTTTGATTGGATATGGTGCGTGAAGTTTGGGGATTCCCCTGACGTCACAGAATTTAAAAAGATAAAAAATTAAGATTGGAAGATTTCATTTGGCTCAGAACATTTTAAATCTTATTTTATTTTCAATGAATATATGGTTAATTTCTACTGAAAACCTGTGAAGGAACAGAACTGAAAATACTTGCTTTAGTTATGACTAATTTTAAGAGTACAGACTGACAGACCTAATTTTAGTAATAAATATAAAGCAGGAAGTAGAATAATAATTAACCACAGGAAGACCTTAGGTTATCACTTGTTAGCATTTCATGTTCCTTTGTCCTCTGCCTAATTGTCTAGCCTTATAAGGATAAGGCTAAGGAAGGAGACAAGAAAAAATTTAAGATGTTTTACACCTTATATATATAGTTTGAGGTGTTAATCAAATTTAAAGTCAGGAGTTAATTTAAATTCCTACTTAAACCTGGTGTAAAAGGTAATACTTCACACATTTAACTTGTAACTCAATACTTATTTTTTTGGGCCCAAAGCAACCATCTTCCACATAACTCACAAAAATTTTGTTATTGTCTGTTACCCAGTAACCATCTGGAAATAAACCTAGGGGCCTACTTAAGTTGCGCATAAAGATAAGAAAATGCACCTACTTAATAAAAGAAAAGATTGACAAGGATTTTGTGACACAACAGCGTTATTACTTTAGTCATGTTCCATTGAGAAAAGAGCTGTTTTGGCTGGTTTGGTTGATCAACATTTTTACCCTGCACATAACTTTGTTGAAAG